ATGCAGGCAGAGTCAGTCAACATGTAGAATGCCAGAGGAGCAACAGGTCCCCAGACCTTTCTCTGGTAAGATAAGACCAAGTGGAAATACTTAGATTAATAGAAATGGGTTAATAATTAAGACAGAGCTAGCCAATAAAAAGCCCAAGCCAACGGTCAACAGTTTCATAATTAATATAAATCTTGTGTGTTCATTTGGGACTGACGAGGCTCTTGGACCAGGCTGGTGGGAAGAAAGCTCATGACACTTCACAGTGACACACTGCCTCCAACATACTTCCTAACAGTGCCACTCCCTTTGGGGGCTGTTTCCTTTCAAACCATAACAGATGGGAAGGGGGCTCAGTGAGTAAAGACAGTTGCTGTGCAAGCATGACACCTGACTTGGATCTCCTGTAAAAGCTGAGCATAGTGGTACATTTCTGTAATCCCAGCACCTCTACAGTATGGAGGCAGAGGCAGCAGAATCCCAGGATGTTCTGGCAGCCAGCAAGCCTGAAGTCTTCACTGTGCAGTCAAAAGAAGCCTGCCTCAAACAGGACTGGAGGCAAGAACCGATGCCCAAGGTCATCCTTCCATTTCTACATGTGTGCTGTGGCAAGGATGTGCCCTTATCCACACACGTCCACAAAAATAAATACAGCTGGAGAGATGGCTCTGCAGTTGAGAGCACTGGCTGCTCTTCAGAGGACCTAAGTTCAATTTTCAGCACCCACAGTGTGGCTCACAACTATCTGTAACTCCAGTTCCAGGGGATCTGAAGCCCTCTTCTGGTCTCTGAAGGCAAAAGGCACAAAAGTGATATGATACATGCAGGCAAAGCACCCATACACTAAGATTACTAAATAAAACAAGCATAAGATTTGGAAGGTCTCAGGGAAGAGGGGAAAACTGCTAGACCAGGACCTGAAGAATGAACCCTTGGCTTTACATAAAGGTGAACGGTCAGCAGCCAAAAAAATAAAAGGCCCACCCAAAACCTAGCTAGAGTGCTGCAATTAATGCCACCATGCCAGTCTTTCATGATACTTTTATTTGATATGCTTACTCTATCCCCGCTACCCCATGAAGATGAGACATTCTTAACTGAAAATAGAGTAGCTGCCTTCCTCTTCCTCTCATTTGCCCCTCTTCTCTCCCTTTCTCTCCTGGTTCATGCTCTGTTCCCTAGGCTGATCTAGAACTCCTAGGTTTAAGTGACTCCTGTCTCAATCTCCTGAATAGGTGGGACAATCGACACGGGCTGTCATGCCCAATACAAAGTGGCTTTTTCAAACACTGGAAAATGTTTTAAAGAAACCTACCATTACAAATGTGCCAGAGGAATGGTAACTATCCTATGTCTCGTATTTTTAAATAACCTATACTATTTAAATTGATACTGATGCTATTTCTAAATTATGGCCTAAATACCATTTGCTTCTGAAAAAAAGAACAGCAAAACCAATGGTGTGAGTTTTCTTTGACTCTCATTTTCAAACTATTATTGACCAGACAAAGAATGGAAAAGAATGTGAAAATTATAGACATTAAGGAAGGTCTGCTTCTTTTGATTAATTCTCAGAACAAAATTAATTTTGAAAATGGGTGACTTTATCTTTCTTCTTTAAAGTTGCTCTCTTACTTTAACGTAGCTCCCAGGATGTTCCATATGCTGCTCTAAGGTTGGTTTGCATCTAGGAGTTTAACACTAGCATGAACCAGCCAGCCTGTTTCAAACAACCAATAGCAAACAAACAACACCACTTTAAGCGAGATGACTTAACACACAAAATGGGAGCATTATTTGCTAGAATTTTGAATATTCAAGTTTAAAAAATTTAAAATCACGGTGTTATTGAGATGCCTCAGTGGTTAAGAGCACTTGTTAATCTTGCAGAGGACCTGGGGTTGGTATTCAGCATCCATATGACCACTCATAACCACCTGCAACTCAGTTTCAGGGACCAGTGCTATTGTCTGGTCTCTGTGGGCTCCTGTACACATGTGTACACACACAGACAAGTGGATGGACGCG